CCCCCCCCCCCTCCACCCCAAACCCCCCCCGCCATGGGCTGGCCACCCCCCCCCCCCAGAACACATGCCAAGTTACCCAAGGTCACCAGGTGTCCCTGGCTGAATCCGGCCCCTAGCCCCCGCACCCCCTCCTGCCCCCCCAGACCTCCACCACATCACGCCCCCTCCTGACTCCAAAACCCACCCGCCATGGGCTGGCCACCCCACCCCCCCAGAACACATGGCAAGTTACCCAAGGTCGGGAGGGCCCCTGGCTGAGTTCTGCCCCTAGCCCTAACTCTCCACTGCCACGCCCCCTCCTGACTCCAAGCCCCGCCCACCACTGGCAGGCCACACCCCCACCCAGGGTTGGGAACGGAACCCAGGAGTCCAGACCCCCAAACTCCCGATCACCAGACCCCCTGCCTCCCAAACCACCCACTCGGCCACAGTCTGCACCGATAACTAGCCTGGCCCAACCCAGAGTTTGTGCCACTGAGCTGCCATCTTTCTTCCAGGGCTCGGTACAGATCGGAACCGCGACCGCTCGCGGCATTGGGCAGGCTCCTGTGGGGTCACCTGTGAAGTGCTGGGAGTTCACTGACTCGGCCAGGCTGTCGTCCGATGGGATTTCCTCCCGGAGTTTCGGGTCTGGGTTCTTCAAAGGAAAGGAGACGAGAGAGACGGATAAACACGGCGCCCGGGGTTCCCTTCCCCTCTGCCTGGCACAGAGCCCAGCCATGGCCAGGCTGGGGGCACTCCCCACCTTCTCGGGGGTCTCCTCACAACTCCGCAGGTGGCCGACAATGCCGTTCCGTGGGGGCCGGAAGAGCCTGGGGTCTTTGGCGTCATGTGAGACCCTCTGGAAATCCCGGAGCTCCCTCTTCTGCTCCAGCCGGCTCTCGTAGGCTTCCTTCCCGTCCACCCTGCAGAGATGATGATGTGAGCCGCTGGGGGGCTGACAGGACAGACGGCTGGACCCCCAGAGCCCTTCCCTACTGGCTGTACACAGCTCTCCCTGGTCTGGGCTCAGGACTGGCCCTGAATGAAAACCCCTCCCCTCCCTCACTCTCAGCACGTCTGAGCTTGGTGCGTGATCCCCATTCACAGGGGGAGAAACTGAGTCACAGAGAGGGCTCAGGGAGTCTCTGCCCAGGCTGGGAATTGGAGCCAGGAGCCCTGACCCCCCTCCTCCTGCCTATCCCATGAGACCCCACTCCCCTCCCAGAGACAGGAATAGGACCCAGGAGTCCTGGCCCCCACTCTCCCCTGCTCTAACCACTGGACCCCATTCCCCTCCCAGAGCTGGGGACAGAACCCAGGAGCCCTGACCCCCAGCCCCCTGCTCTAACCACTGGACCCCACTCCCCTCCCAGAGCCAGGACTAGGACCCAGGAGTCCTGACCCCCAGCCCCCCCTGCTCTAACCACTGGACCCCACTCCCCTCCCAAAGCCAGGGACAGAACCCAGGAGTCCTGACCCCCAGCCCCCCCTGCTCTAACCACTGGACCCCACTCCCCTCCCAAAGCCAGGACTAGGACCCAGGAGTCCTGACCCCCAGCCCCCCCTGCT